TCCTCCCAATCTGCCCCTTCTGCAGCCCAGCTCAGCCCATGGCTCCACCATCCCCCCAGAGAACCTGGCTTCACCTGGTAGTGTCCCAGCTGGGCAGCCCCAGGTCCATGGGAGGCCCCCAATAAACAGAGCTCACTCCAAAACAGACAGATAGGGTAGGGGGGCCAGTGAGACCTGCCCTACCCTCGGGACCCGGGTTAGGGACAGGATGGGGAGGCCTGGCCTCACCCTCAGTGTACAGTCCCGTGAGTGGACACTGGGGGGTCCAGACAGGACCACCTGGTATCTCAGGCTCTCTCTACAGCTCTGACCTGAGGTCCTAGAGGCCAAGGCAAGGAGAGTCTGGGAAAGAGCCACCTCTGATCTGCAAAGACCTCAGGATCCCTGATGCTACGTCCCCAAAGCAGCTACAGGTACCCGCAGGACTCAGCTGGGAGTCAGAGACCCAGCAGTGGGAGAGGGGGGCTCAGGATGCTTTACAGAAGCAGGTGCCAGACAGGGAAGGAGGCCCCCTTCAACACGCCCGTGGAGGTGGAGGAAGGCACCAGCACTGAGGGAGGCGCTTCTCTGCCCAGGGCTCCCGGCTCCCAGAGGGAGACTCAGCTCCAACCCCAGCCCCACCCCAACTTGTGTGAGCGACGCGGGGGGTACTGCCCTCCCTTCTCCAGGGTCTGACCCTGGCAGTCTCGACACATCTGGGGACTGACCCCCAAGAGCCCCAGCAGAGAGCACACAACCTACCCCCACAGGGTGCAGAGGCCCCCCGACCACAGCAGCCCCCAGAGGCTCTCCCTGGGGTACATGTCCGTGAAATGCTTTTCTTCTGTCCGCGGAGGTCTGGGTGACAGTGATCCATCTTCCTCCCATACACGTGCAGTCTGGCTCGGCGGGGCTTCTGTCCCCACTCAGACATGCTCGCCTCAGGAGGGTGGCTGTTCATTCCTGCATCCTCCCCGTGCACCAGGCACAGGCCCTGACGCCTGACTCCCCAAGAGAGGACAGCCTCCCCCCAGGATGGCCCCAGGCCAACTCGCCACAGGACACAGGACACAGTGACCACGTGTCAGTGAGCCACTGGAGTGTGCTCGGTGAGAAGACCCCCCGTGGGCGTGGTCACGGTTGTCCTGTAATGTCCTCCTTCCCATCTCCTGCTGCCTTCTACACCTGGCCCCGCCCTGCAGCCCTTGGGCCTTTGCACGTGCTGTGTCCCAGGGTCATCTGCCCATCCTTGAATCCCACCTCAGATGCCCCCTCCTCCGTGAAGCCCTCCCCTGCCCCCGCACCATCCCCGAGGACCTGAGCATGCTTTGGACATGGAATATGACACACCAAGGCAGATCAACAGGACAGCCAGCCATGAACCAGTTGTTAGGGCCAGAATAGCCACGCTGCAGCTGATTTAGCCTGATGAGAGTCTACACCAACCACCCAACCACAGTAACCTGACAATTGCCTTTGCTCTTGTCCACGGTGTGAATACAGCCCCAGGGCCGCTTGCCACTTCCTGGCCTTGGGAGAAAACTGTTTTTTCTTCAAGCTGCACCCTTGAAGACTCTGAGCCCCAGATCTGTGTCCAGTGGCCTAAGCACGTGACCCCCATTCAAGGCCACCTTGTCGCAGTCTCCAGGCCACCACTCGAGCTGCTCCCACAGACTTCGCAAGTGTTCTCCTCTTCGAGGGACTGAGCATTAAATCTGGGGTCAATCTTGGGGTGGCCCAAGAACATAAAGGCCTCCACGATATTCTCTCAGTGAGAACAAATTTGTCAACAGCTGGACACTTTTCTCAACAATTTGGCCCCAGGAGAATTCTCCTCAGCCAGCCCTGTGTGCCCATGGCACCCACAGCTCCCTGGCCTCGGCAGCAGAACAGTGTCCAGGGGGATCATGTCTGACTTTGAAGGAACCAAAGGTGCCCCCTAGTCATCCCAGGAAGAATTCAGGCCCTAAGAGCAGACGCCCCCATGGGTTCCACCCGGTCCCTCCCAGGCTGCATCTGAAGAGAGAGACTGCCACCATGCAAAGCCCTCCCATGCCCAGGGGCCCAGGGACTGGAGTGTGTGGGCAGATCCTGCCATCACAAGGAAAGGAGCCCCGGGAGCCATCTGTCCCCTCCTTTGTGGTCCGTGGCTGCTTACGTGCTCTCCGGGGCTCTGGGCGTCTGTGAGGCCACCAGTCAGTGCTCGTGGCCTTGCTGGGGCGTGAGTCCCACTGCTCACCCGCAGCGGCGCTGACAGTCCCACTCCCACCTGCCAGGCCCCCTCCTGGCCTGCTGGGCCCTGTCCTCCCTCACTGCCCAGGGCAGCCCCTTGTCACCACAGCAACGCCTAGCCACCCCCCTCAACCTTCCCTTTCTTCCAGTAGCAGGTGCTCCCAGGCGGCCTCGTGGTCCCCAGAGCCCGTGGAGGAGACCGCCTTCAGCAAGGGTCACACTGCGCTGTAGGGGCAGAGCCAGAAGCCCGCTGGCCAGGCTTGGGTTCCACGGGGGTTGGGCCGCAGGGACTGGGCAGCATCAGCCATCGACAGAGGCTTATAGGAAAGGCCTGGGGCCGCCGAACTGCATCTGAGCTCCTTCTGGACTGGCAGCCCCTGAATTTCGGGCTGCCACTCAGTTCATCATACCCTGAGCCCCAGAGTGGACCAGACATGCGCTTCGGGGTGGCGGGGTGGGGGACTGTGAACGCCCTGTTGGTCTACCTGACATGGGACTCTCCAGGCTGTCACCTTGAAGCTTCTGTCCCCAGCAAAGGCCTTCCATGAGACACATGGTCAGGACAACACAGCAGCCCAGTGAGCTGGCCACAACTTAACTAGGCTACATCGAGTCCTGTCCCCAGCAGGGCCGAGCGAGGCCTGCCCCCATGGGGCTCCCTCCAGGCCCTGTGTCTTTCCTCCCTCCTGCTGCACAGGTACATGGTCTCTGTGTTTTTAGCCCTGACTCTGTTTCTCAGTTTGTGTCTGATACATCTGTCTCTCTGTCTCTGTGTCTGTCTCAGTGTCTCTCTCCACCATGCACCCTGCACTTCTGTCTCTTGTCCCATTTCCTTGGGCTCCTCAGTCTTGGTCTCAGGGCCCCCTGTCTTTTTCCCCTGGCTGTTCTGTTCTGATCCTCCATCCCCCACAGATTCCCAGACAGACAGTGCCCCAGTGCCCCTCTCCCTCTGGCCTGCCCCTCCCGTCTGTCTTGTGTGTCCGGGGCACCCTCTCTCCAACCCACACCTGCTCCCTGTTTCTCGGGTCCATCCCTCTGGGTCTGGGTCTGGGTTTGGGTCTGTCTCTGTCCCTCTGTCTGTACGTACTCATCCTAAGAGGCCAAAATGATGCCCATCCAGGGGGAGAGAGAGCACAGGAAAAAAACACAAGGTCTCGCCCTGGAGGTCAGATGCAGCCCCCAACCTCAGCAGTGGGGGGATGACAAGTAGTGGGGGTCAGCACCTGGTGGGCGCACCCCGTGGGTGGCTGCTGAGAGGATGCTCCAAGCCCCCCCCCCCGTGCAGCCCACCCCGTTGCCGCCGCAGGAGAAACTTTGGGCTGACATGGAACAAAGGGGATCCAGGCTGGCAATTACCCAGCTAATTTCAGCCATGTAGACAGCCAAATCAGATGTTTCAGGTTTCTTACAAACCCACCTCAGGGCCTGAATTAGCCACCTAATTAATTATCTGTACCAGCCTGGGACCGGCTGGGTGGGAACACGGATTGCTCCCGGTGCCAGGATGCTTGTCCCTGAATCATGTCCTGGTGACGTAATCATTATAATTAGACCCAACCTGCAGCCTATCCTTGACCACAGAATCCCAGGAACAGTGGCCCCAGGCCGGGCCCAAGTGTCTTTTCATTCGTGGTAGCAGAAATGCAGCCATTCTGCAAAAGACAAGCCCACCCACAGGGCCCCTGTCCCGTATTTGGTGGCACTGGCCCCACCATCCTGCCCCCCATTTCCAGCACAACAGCCCCCATCCGCTCCCCAGCTCTAGCAACAAGGTCCCGATTCCTCCTGCTCCTGCAGCAGCACCATGAGGATGGCCTTGTCACGCATCACCTGACTCATGCCAGGCTGTGCACGGTACCAGGTCAGGGTGTGGCCCACGGAGGCCACCAGAGGGAAACGTCCCGAATGGCAGAGTCAGGAGCTGGCCACAGGCTCCCATCCCAGGGAGCTCCGGGGAGCTGGTGCTGCAACCAGGGGAGCTGGGGCACACGGGATGGGCCCCTTGGGCCTTGGCTGACCAGACGGCTCTACCAGGACGCACCTATCCCGGTGTGGACTTCAGCCCATTGCCCTGCCCACCTCCTAGGCCAGCGTCTCTGGCCTCAGTGATGACCCCCTCTGGACGAAATAGGCACAAGATTCCCTTCAGATAAGTCAGCAGGGTTAGAAGGGCGGCCCTCTCCCCGAGACACACACACAGCTGCCCTGCCTGTCTTGGCGTCTTCCCTTGTCCCTGTGCTCAGCCAGCCCTAGCTCCCTGTGCACGCTGCTGCCCCCACCCTGGATGAAACCCACGGGGTCCTTGCTGGACACCACAGACCCAGCCCCAGCCCCCACCCCTACTCCGCCTGCTGCAGCTTCCCATGGCTCTGCTCACCAACAGCAGAACCCCCATGGGGCCCACCAGACGCTGCCAGTTAGGATTGGCCCTTGGTGCCCCTGAAACCCACCCCCCACTGGCCTCCCAAAAGTGAGGGTGCTGCTGCTTCACCCTGGACCCCAGCCTCAGCACTGTCTCGTGGGCTCTGCCCTGACCACGCACACCGTGTACGCCCTCCCCCACTCCCCGTGCTGGCCAAGGCCATTTGGGAGGCGCTGGCTTTGGTTCCTACCCCCCTTCTCTCTGGCTCCGTCCTGAGGGAGGGAGCGGGCAGGTGTGTTTCCGGGGACATGCAGTGAAGGCATCTGTGCAGTCTGAGGGTGACCACGTGCTGAACGTGCCCCCATGTGTCTGCATGCCACTGTGGAGATGAGGCTAGCCTTGTGCCCCCACGCCCCCAACTTCCTACCTCCCAGGGCCTGTTTCATCACGAACTCCATGACGATGGCTTTGATTCCTCAGCGGCTCCTCCAAGGGTCCGAACACACATCCAAGTGTGGTGGGGAGTTCTCTGCCTGGGGGAGAGGAAGTGGTCACAGGTCACCCTGGCTAGGCCTGGGGGAGGGCTTTTTGCTCATCCCTACGTGACGACCCCTGAGCATGGGTCTGTGGTCTGGAGAGAGCATCCTTTGTCGATTCCCCCACCCCTATGGCTGGACCCCGACACTGACAGGGACACCGGAGAGGGTCTGGGAGGGTCTTAGTGGAGGAGGGTTTCCACCCCACACCCTGACCAGGGCAGGTAGATTCCAAGACCCCAGCTGGACCTGCAAAGTGGCCTCACGTGGCCCCTGGTTTTCTGAGTCCATCTTATGGTGGCTACTGCAGCGACAGAGGCGGGAGAGCACAGCTCAGAAGGAGCCGGGCTGTGTGAAGCTGGGGCAGACCCAAGGGGTGTGTGAGGTGACTGGCCCTTCTGCCTCCTTGGTGGACCCTGGGCCACAAGGGGGTGGGGGAATCCATTTAAGAGACAGGAAGGGCTATGGTGGGGTGGGGCCAGAGTGGATGCCCCTTCAGAGAGGTCTCTTTGGCTTCTGACAGAGGAGTCTCAGGGACAGGTAGACCAGGCTCCACCCAGGGGAAATTCGAGGGCCCACTGCCACCCACCCGCAGCAGAGATCCGGGAGAGACTGCAGGGAACCCAGCCTTCAGGGAAATGGAAATGGGAGGTCAGACCCCACCCCCTCCACCTGCGTCTGCACCGGTGGGGCGCTCCAGGGTCCAGGTCAGCTGAACTCTGGTGGGGAGGGGCTGCCTGTAGGATAAGCAGCTGCAAGTCCCCTCCCTCCCCACTTGTGGGGTCTCTCCTGGCAGGGAAGCCCAGGGCTCTGGAGATCCAGTGTTTTACGGTGTTTTCCTCTGCAGACGAAGGAGACCCGCGTTTGTGCGGCCTGGGGAGGGCTGGCTGGGTGGGAGTGCCCCCGCCTCCCCGCAAAGCGCTGGCGCGCAGGGGCGCCCTTGCCGCAAAGCAGATTCTCTTCCAAACTTCTCCCCTGGCTCCTGAGGGGGTGGGGAACTCAGGGCCCAGCCACAGAGAGGCTCGGGGTGCTGCTGGAGCTCCCCCAGGCTTCCCATTGCCTCCCCGCGCGGGCCGGGGCTCCCGCTGCCGCCGCACCCCTTGGCTTTGCGGGCGGGCGAGTTGCCCGGCTCTGCTGAGCGGCCCTCAGGCGGGAGCGCGCCAGGAGAGAGAAAGAGACACAGGACATGGAGGGGAAGGGGAGACGCGCAAAGCGGGAGCAAGAAGGAGGGAGGGCGCGGGCCGGGACCGCGGGGCCCGCTTCAGCACCGTGCGGGCGGACAGCGCCCGCCCCGGCCGAGCGCGCGCCCA